ATGCTTTTATTCCCTACTAAGATTGGATTTATTTCTCAATTTTGATCCTTTTGAGATCAAAGAGTCTTTTCCCTTTTCTCTAAAGAGATTATTTATGTATTTTAATTCAATATTTATATTAAAAATACAGTTTTAATATTAAAATTATTAAATCATCTTAATAAATAAATATAAAAAATTTTATTGACAATATTTCAATAATTTTAGTTGTCTTATAACACTTTTAAAGCATAGTTTGAAAAAAAAATATTTTTTTTTGTCTCTAAAACAAAAGCTTTTTAAAAGAAAAAAATTAGTATTAGCAAAAAACAAATTTTTCATTTTTTTAACCATCTTATACAACTGAATTTTACTTGTCAAAGTAATGAAAGTGTAAAAGTTTTGAAACCCTTAACTTTCTCTCGGATAGAGATTTTATAATTAATGGACTCCTATTAATTATTACTAGGGTTTTACAAATTTTATAATTACTTAATGGACTCTAAGGGTTGATTTGTCCTTTTTTATTAGGGTGGTGTTATAAGATAATTTTTTTATATTATTTTTTATATAACTTTGATGTATCATTAAATAAATAGATGTATTTAATATCATGAATCTCACATAAATTAAAAGAACCAATTATTTAAATGATACGTCAAATTATAAAAAAAATAAAACAAAAAATTATACAAAAATCATTTCCCTTTTTACTGTTAGTTATTATCAGGGTTTTAGAACCGTTATCCCTCAACTATTTGCCTCTGTTTCCCGCCTCCACTTATTCCTCTCTGCTCATAATCTCCTCTCATCCCCTAATTTCCTTTGCTACTCCACCCTTTTCATGATTAAGACTCAGCAGACAAGGGTCCACGATATGATCATCAGAGGCAAGACAACGACCAAGGACTGCATCATCGAAGCCGAAGCAGGGCATTGATGAGTGCCAGTACGAAACAAGAGTTAGAGCGCACATCCCAAGTGGTGAATTCCAGATTGAAACGGCTCAATGTTTTTGATTCCGTAAAGGTCACAACAGTTTCTGGGCCTCCGGAGTTGCCTGGGACCTCCAATGTCATCATCTAGGTTGTCGAGACTGCAAGCCCTCTCACCGCTCCAGGTTGGAGCTTTTACCAAACCTGGGGTACTTTATTTCCTCTGTGCATTGAAATTAGAGGTTTAATGGAAACAATCCCGAACTTTTACTCCAAATCAAGGTTTTACGAGGCTTACGCAGCTAATTTCTAAAGATTATATTATTGTTGTTTTGTTGTACACTAGATGTTACGCACTAGAAGGCTCACTCAACTACAAAAATTTATTTGGGTATGGTGATCTTTGGAAATTTTCGTGTGGCCGCGACCTCCCAAAAGATGTCAAGTGCAAGTGCTGGTGTGTCTTTGCCTAGATTAAAAGGTTGGTAACTCCGGTGTCAGCCCGAGCATACTTGCAATCTCAAGATTGGATGAAGTTTTCTTCATTGAAAGGGCGTGCATTGGGGCTCTCTCTTCGTTTGTTTTCAAGTGGTCACCATGACTTGTCATATGATCTTGCATGGCGCACCTTGACGGATCCATCCCAAATACCATCGAGGACAATAAGGAGGCAACTTGGAAATAATTTACTTTCATCTTTGAAGAATACGTTTAAGATTGACTGGAGAAATTCACATCTGAGGCCAACTCAAGGATATGTTTTTTGGCTTCTACTACACAAATTGATGGCCTAGCACCCTTTAGTCAAAACTTGCGATTTTTACACAACGTTGGTGCTTTTATATATATATATATATATATGATAGGTTATATAATAGAAAAGAGATGTGTTATGTGTACTTGACAATCTACAGAATGTGCATAAATGCTCAGGATCGCGGGCCAATCATGGGCTGAGTGTAGTTAATATTTTCTAATAGAGAAAAGTTCCCTCTCTCTCTCTCTCTGATTGCTCATAAATTTCAATGTTAAATTTGAGTCTTTCAATTTATGCTCAAACTCTTAATGGTGAAAATGCTGTTTTTAAGTTTTGTTGTAATTCTAGATTCTAATGATAGGAATTGGATCCTCGATATGCCATACCCTTGGATTTTTATCGTGCTGCCCTTAATTTTGGAGTTTCTGCTGTTGCCATCTTTCCACTGGGAAAAGAATCCTTGAACAAGGGTACATTTAGAGGGCCAACAACATTATGGGGATTTAAGACAAGGGGATTGGGGCTAACCGAGCCAAGAAGAGAGATAAATGATGAGATTGCCGATCCTTCAAAGAGGGATTATCTTGCAGGAGACCTTGCTTTTAGTGCTTTTGCAGACCTTTCCTTTGACCTTCCATGAAATCCCTTCAGGGAGAAAGGAATCCATGCACATATTTTTGCATCCGCTGGGAATGTTTCCGAGTTATGGGAAAACAACCATCAGAATTTCTCCGTTCAGAAGTTCAGAGAGTCGATCCAGAGCTCTATAGGAGTTGGGATTGCCATCTCTACGAATCAATTCCATGTGGAGGTGCGTTATTTTATTGACAGGGTTTAGATACTGTCTTTTTGTGAAGCTCTTTTTCACTAACATGCTTATCATCATCATCTATCTTCCTTTTTTTTTTCTTTTTTTCTGTTTTTTTTTTTGTCGAGTTAACCATGGCCACATACTGAAAGAGAGTGAGAATGACCGTGCCAAGTTCGGCATTTGGGTTATATTTTCGTAGGAACTGTCATGTAAAATATTCCCTTTAAGGATCTTGCTGGCTTTGATAACAGAGACTAATCTTACGATAGTGAAGTAATGTTTCTTACTGAGTAGTGATATGTAGGAACAAAATTTAGAATTAATGAAGTGATATAAATTATGTTATTAAATAAATTTATATATATAATATTATAAATTT